GATGATTCGAAACCTTTTCTACATTTTGTTTAAAGGCCATCTTCTTCTCCATGGAGAGGATCTTGGGAAACTCATTGAATTTTGTCCGATTCTCCTTTGTAGTTTTTTTATTTCCTTTGGTGCTGTAAATCTATGAGTACATGGAAGGCATCCCTTTGGTGCCCTTTTAGTATATCGATTTCTTTTTTCTCTATAAGAAAAGATGTAGGCAGAAAAAATTACAATGTTAAGCATACTGTGTTTCTGTACTCTATGTGATGCTTGTAAAACTATGGATGCAGCCTAGAACGGAAACTAGTATGCTTTTGTTTAGTATTTTCTTACTATTCTTGTTTTGCTCATATATGATACTAATAAGCAGTTACTTGGTTGAAAAGGTTGATATGGAGGCAAAAATTGCAAGGTTAGAAGTTCGTGCTATTGGAGTTGCTTCGCAATTAGAGTTGGGTCTGTTGAAGGTTATAGGGGAACACAATTATTATAATGCAGCAGTGGCTGCATTATCCGTTCTTGGATTGGGTATCGGAATTGATAGCAAAGAAATCAATGCAACTATCGACAAATTAAGGCCACCACCTCATCGAATGCAATTTGGTAAGTTAAAATTGATACTCACCTCTTTCTTTAAAGAGAAAATGTTTGTAAGGCTTCCTTGATAGTCACCTATTCCTATCAAAAGAAAATGTCTGTAAGACTTCCTCAATACTCATCTATTCCTTTAAAGAGAAAATGCTTGCAAGACTTCCTGATACATCAGAAGTCAGATCTTCCCTCACTCTACTTCTGCCCCTAAGAAGAAACTGGCTTTCAAAAGCATAATTTAGGTGTTATTGTTGGACCAGCGCTGTTAGACTCTCATAGTTATTCATTAAAATGAGTTAACTCAATACGGTTCTTATACTCATAGGTGCTATATTGGATTTGAATCAGATTTTAGATCAATCTATATTGGTTGACTGCCTCCTAATAGAGATAGTTTCTATTCTTGATCCTTTTTCTACCTATTGAACTGTTGCTTGAGCAATTCAAGTTTTCCACTTACTGAAGATAGGCTCAAGAAATTCTGTTTTGTGAAATTAGTAGCAGAGTCATTGCAATTGACCTAATTTGTAGTCTGATTAATTTATTCTTCTAATAGCTATAACCATTTTGATAAGTATCATAATACAGTGCACAAGGATATCCACGGGGTGACATGGGTGGATGACAGCAAGGCAACAAATGTTGAAGCAAGTTATGCAGGATTAGCGGGTTTGAGGGGACAGAAATCTGTCATTCTACTCGGTGGCATTGCGAAGGTTGTATTTTTATCTTGATGGCTGAATAATACTAGTCCCTAATTGCTTTTGGCTGAGTTTTATAAATGTAAATTATGTCAAAGAAACGTGCTTTAGTTGGATCCAATTCCAAAACTGAAAGTATTCTGAACTATTCCATTTTCGACCTCCTTTTGATGCGCACGATAAAGTTCATGTAAAATTCTTTCAGAAAGTCTATGGCTTTCAAGCCTTCAAAGAGACAAATTTTTTGCACCATAAACAAAAATCCGATATTGCAACAAATGGATGAAAGAAACACTTGAAAGAAAACAAACAGATGGCAGGAAATATCTGCAGTTTTTTTTGGAAATCTTAACTTTTTTTTATAGGAATTCATTTACAGAAAGAAATCAATCCTTTAGACATTTCTAAGCATCATGGGGCTTAAAAATTGCACTCTAGTGATTTTAAGTCTAACGTTTGTGTATTTTATTTTCTAATCCTAGAAGTCATTTTGATGTTTGAGTCATTCATTCTTAAAAGATTTTTGTCATTTTGTGATTGATAATTACTTCGCCAATTCCAATTTTGTTATTGTTTTTCTTTTGCAGGTTATAGACGAACACAAATCTAATGGTTTTGAAAAATTGATAGAACCTCTTAATCGTCACAAGTGTGTGATCACTGTATGTGTTTTTTTTTTTGGTGTGTATTAAAATGTAAAGCATGGACGCTTGCATATTCATATATTTTGCAGTTTCATATTTTCATTTTTAAAAAATTCTACTGCCTGAAAATTTTCTTTCTTATGGAATCACTAACACATTTTTTATACATTTTCATGAATTGCCCCAAGTTTGGATATTCAGGATCACTTATTTGTAAGACATTGTTGGAGTCTGGTCTTAGTGTTCCCTGCATTGAAGCTAAAGATCTCGCAGATGCTGTCAATAATGCTAGAACGATAGCCACATATGGTTCGTCCACTTTAACTTTGGAGAGTGTTTCAGGAAATTCGTTCCTCTATGTTTGGTTTGCTTAAATGCATGCTGGGAATGGGATGTTACTGATGCCTGATGACAGGCTTGAATAGCATAACCAGTGGTCCATAGCGTCCCAATATTTAAAACAAAGACTTCTCAGAACTAGTTGCACGAATCATGTCGAGAGGTTACTCGAAACTTATATAATTCTTGGAAGATTCTAGATATATCCACAATGTCGAAAACCTGCCTTCATAGTCATCACCCGCTTGCTGGGTTTGTTACATCTGTTGTTGATGTCAACTTAAATTCAGACATGCTAAAAAAATCCCATCGTCTAATACAATTCCTCAATATTGCAGGTGATGCTATTGTACTCAGTCCTGGCTGTGCGAGCTTTGATGAATTCAGAAATTTTGAGAATCGAGGAACAGTTTTCCAGGAGCTGGCATTCTCATCATAGCTGAGTCTTTCAGATCCTGGTTGAGAATTTTGCATTACGTAATTTCTCTCTACTCTATAACTCTAAAAATCATTTAGAACTAAATCTAGTATATGCATCTAAATATTTTCTCCGGCTCGAGTCAAATTATCACTTTAGTTTAGTTTCCTTCCATAAATTGCTACCATCTTGTCATCCCGAGTCATGACCATCTTCATAGAATAATACCATTAGCGCCAGTTTCAGGTGGCTATGCATTCTAGGAGAAACATCTCTTTTCGACATTGCTGAAACTTCGATATTAAAGAAAACTGTACGACTCGAACCGAGACAATTTTCATTTGCAGAAAGGATAATGTTAATGTTTTAATAGTATGATTTGGTTACTTTTGTGAAGGAAATGAAGTTGCAAAAAATTTGGAACTGATAGGTTCTTGTTTGTCTCTTGTATCTGCAGGTAATCACCATGAATATCAGGAGAATAACTTCTCTGGTTACATATATATATATGTATGTATGTATATGTATATGTTTTTATGGATTATTTTAAAAAATATGTTTTTATGGACTATATTTATAATCAACAGTTACAAATATAAATTTTAATTCATAAGTATACATGTATGTCTGTTTGGAATAACTATGTTAACAAATTTATTTTTAAAAAAAATTATTTAGAGTTACTGCATTTTACTGTAGTAGTTTAATTTTATTATAATGTAAACTGTGGTATTTTTTAAAATTTAATCCTTATAGTTTGAATTTTATTATTTCATATAAAACGGTTAATTTTTAAAATTATTTATTATAATTATTTCTTTATTCTTTTAAAATTTAGTTAAAAAGTAACTAAATGTAATTTACTAATTTTTTTAAAAAAATAAATATTACAATGTAGATGAAAAAAATAAATTTATATTATATGTAGATTTCGTGCGTTAAAATTAAAATCGAAAAGATGCCCTTATGAGGAAAGTATATAGGAAATGTTTTGAAACGACGTCGTTTGGAGGACTTGGAAATTTATATTATATGTAGATTTCGTGCGTTAAAATTAAAATCGAAAAGATGCCCTTAAGAGGAAAGTACATAGGAAATGTTTTGAAACGACGACGTTTGGAGGACTTGGAAATTTATATTATATGTAGATTCCTTGCGTTAAAATTAAAATAGAAAAGATGCCTTTGCAAGAAAAGTATATAGGAAATGTTTTGAAACGACGACGTTTGGAGGACTTGGAAATTTATATTATATGTAGATTCCGTGCGTTAAAATTAAAATAGAAAAGATGCCTTTACGAGAAAAGTATATAGGAAATGTTTTGAAACGACGACGTTTGGAGGACTTGGAAATTTATATTATATGTAGATTCCGTGCGTTAAAATTAAAATCGAAGAGATGCCTTTATGAGAAAAGTATATAGGAAATGTTTTGAAACGACGACGTTTGAAAGACTGGGACGTCGTCTTTACTGTTGAGCAGTGAGGTAGTGGAGGTTCAGGCGCTGGATTCCGCTGGCTTGAACTATACAATACGAAGAAGGAAATTGAGGAACTTCCAGAAACAAAGGTGAAATATTGTAAGGAAAAAGATAACAAGAAGCCGAAGAAGAAATTTTGGAAGGCATATAACGACGACGACAGCAACAACAAATTCATTGCTTGTGTGCATGACATTTACAGGTATTCTTTTCTTCAACCTTTCTCGTCTCTTCTAGATTCTACTCCTCCGCCTTCTGTCGTATAGGTTTGCTCCTTCACGTGCTCTTCTCCTCTTTCCTGTTTGCCTTTATTCTGTTTCAAACACTCTGTCATAAATTCAAATTCATTCGCACAGCAATTTCTTCATTGTTGCTTTCAATTCGATTCAATAGTTTGGTACGTCCATCTTTTTATCATTTATGCTATATATCTATATTTCTGTATTCTTGAAATTTGAATTGTCTATATTTTACTGCTTTTGTTTGCTGGTTGATAAGGAATTGTGATTAATGAAGATAATGCTACTTGAATATTATTTATTTCAGTTGCCTTTCGGACTTTTTAATTTGAACGAGATTAAAGTTTGTGGCCATTATTGTAATTACTTTGTCGGATTCCCTTAGTGCTAGTCCGAATTCTGGATTTACTCTCTTAATATTAATCTTATCTGGGACTATCGATGAATGTGATATCGAGAAGTAGACCTTCTTTTTCCAAAGCCTTGTGTGTCTGAATGGAAATTGTAACTGACGGATTCAAACTTATCAATCCATCCGCATGGGAGCAAGGCATCAGAGATTGAACCTAAAGTCCATAGAATTGGTCATTCTGAGTGATTATAGAGTTGTTGAAGCTATTTTTAAATGTAATCTGAAGTACAGCTTGGCTGTCAAATAATTTCTTAAGAGGACATTTCAACTTACAATATGAAGTGGATGCCGAAATGGCTACGAACTTTAATACAAACAACAATCTTTACAAGTTTGTTTCATTGATGTTTGTTGGAATATAATAATCAAGGTAGGTCATTTCCTCTCAAAGGTAATGACTTCAAAAGTTAAGACTATGGCAGCCTCTTATTTTCTTCTTATTTCTCTCACTTATGATCTATCCAGTATTTTCTAAACCCTCCTTGGTCAAAATCCTACTTGAAAGACTCGAAGGGCCGATTCCACCATATCTCGTGCTGAACTTTTTATTTTTAATAAAAACAGAATTGTCAGGTTTGAACTTTTAATTCTTCCTCATAAAAAAAGGAAAGGTTTAAACTTTTAGTTGATACTATGTGAAATAATCAGGTTAGGTAGCGATTTTTTCCTGTAAGTTCAAGTTGATAGACAATAACAC